TGGTCGAGAATATCGAAAGAATTTTGAGGCAACTGAAATTGCTCGGAGAACCAATGGATCAGCCTTATTTGGAAATGATGATTGAGCAATAGCTGCAAAGATGGATACTGATCGAACTTTGTTCGATGAAGGAGAAATGTCAACCATGGACCATAGCTAAACTAAGAGCACATTCGGAAAGAGTAGCAAAAAGGAAAGAAGATGTGGACAGAGTACAAGAATTACGTCAGCTGCACCAAATGTTGGAGAAGACTACCAATTCAAGAAACAAAGTGAATGAAGCAACTTACAAACCAACTTCAGCGTTTGCAACTTTGGAAAAGAAAGAAAACAAGCATCCGCAACAACCTTGCGCCTTTTGTAAAGGTCAACATTGGAGCGAAAACTGCAAAAAGTATGACACTTATGATAAAAGAGTAAAACAAATGCGAGAACTCCATTTATGCTTCAAATGCTTAAAAGAAGAGCACACATCGAGTATGTGCCACAAGCAGCCGCAGTGTTTTCATTGTAAGAAACCTCATAACACTGCAGTATGTCGAAACAAACAACCAATCATCAATACTGCAGTAGCAATGTCACCAGAATGCCGTCGGAATATCGAGAAAACCAATGAAACCGTGGTGGCAACAAGTATAGTTTCACAAAACCAAGAAGCAGTAATAGACGTACTGCTCAAGCTCAAATTACTGTGCTTCTTATGTGCAAAACAATTTAGGTGGCAAATCCACAGGATGATAAGAAAATCGAAGCTACAGTTTTCTTTGATTCGGGATGCCAGCGCTCATTCATAACAGAAGAGTTGGCAGAGCAACTTAAACTAATCAGCACTGTGCGCAAGCCTATTTCGATAGCAGCATTTGCAGAAACGCAATCGAAAGTTTACAATTCGAGAGAGGTTAAAGTTAATCTTGTATTAAAAAATGGCTTCCAAAATACAATAACAGCGTGCACTATGCAGTTTTTGACGCAAGAATTGTTGATAGCACACAAAAGGGATAGAGAAGGTCAACAGCTGAAACAAAATCCAGATGTTATTCAGGCAGCGATCGTTTGTAAGAAGCCACAAATTGTAGTAAATCTGGACTGCTACTTCATTTTTGTAAAGGGGCGTCGCACAATACTGAACTCCGGATTTCAATTTATTGATTCAGCCGTAGGATGGATGATAGCTGGAAAAGGTGCAATAAATAACATTACTACGAAAACAAAAAAAGCACTCGTTAGAACCGCCATCATCGTCAGCACAGTGCTGGCCGAACAGCGGATGTAGAGCAATTTTGGCATTTGGAAACAGTGGGCCTTGGAAGAAGCAAAACTTAAATATTCAGTCCAACTATGCAGTGTGCGTAGCCAGACTCAAATCTACAGTTAGTAG